ATATAAATTCACAAATAAACAAACAAACAGAACAAAGCTAGTACAGACAATGTAATAACAGCTGAAACAGGCTTGGGATATGCAATGTTCAAAATGTAAAATAATCTAAACCATGTATCAACTGCTTGTAAAAAGACGGTCTTGCTTCAGTGCCATTTCTCCCACAATGATGAAGGATGGATTTTATCCCAAAACTACAGGACATGAGGGTATCGCCTTTGTTGCTCCTCCTCCTCCTCCAGATACAGAATGAAATTTGTTCCAGCCTTTAAACAGACATTTTAAATGGCTAATATGCATACATACATTGGATGAAATATTACCCAAAAATGTATTGTCATAAAAGATGCACTTACCCACTTTGTATGGCAATGGAGGAGGATGTCAGGGTTTTAATTCAACTTTAATGCAATCTCCAAAGACCATCTTAAATAGAAAGAACAATGGATTAATCACTGAACAAGAATTGGGGGGAAAAAATGGAAAAAAATCCACACTTTTCTAAGCCGCGGTAGCAGTCTTTCATTTGACTTCTTACTGTTGTAATAATGGATTAATGTCTGTTATATTAGCCGAGTGTTACAAGAGTGGTGTTTGTATCATTATAGACAGGTGTGGGGATTTTTGAACTCTTTCTGCATGTTACATTGTTATGCTAGTGGGTGGTAATGCCAGTGTATCAATGACATATGGAACTAAATTTAAGTTATGTAAAAACTATATATCACTCTCGTAATCATGCTGTTAGACTCTATATCAGCAGGCTGTGGTTTTCTGTGGTCTCATACCTGATCTATATTGATCTAGAGTCAATATTCACATTACAAAGATGGCACAGAAGCATTTCTGAAAGTAGCTTTTATGTGTCTTGACTCTTTACATAATGTTTAATACTGCAATGCTATACAGAGTATTTTGAGCAGGCACAAGCAGCCTTAACTCAGCTATTTAAAGACACCTTCACAGTACTCTTGCTTGTGTGATTTTTCTCAAAGGGATAGTTCACCCAAAAATGAAACTTTTGTCATCATTTACTCACCGTCAAGTTGCTCCAAACTGGTATGAGTTTCTGTCTTCTGTTGAACACAAAAGTAGATTTTGAAGAATGTGTATTTATTCATACTATGAAAGTAAAATATCTTGTGACTGTACAGCAGAAAAAAAAACTCATGGAGATATGGAATAACGAGTAATAAATTATAAAAAAAGTTAACCCTTTAAGAGTCAGTTTTACTAACAGCTTGCGCCAGCGCAAACCGTGTTTTGGTGTTAAAATTGTACTGTCCGTTTTTACTAAAAACGCGCAGTGATGAATTAAAGCTGAAAAGGCGTAGACAGTAATTTTTGCGCCTGACCTTATCGAATATGCATTTGCAGGAGTTTCCATTTCAGACGCAAAATTTATGGGAGGAGAGTATTCAAATGAATCACGCAACGTGTTTTACTAACGTTTGTACTCGTCAAATTACTAGCATTTGTGCCATTATTTAACCCCCCAAAAAAGCATGTCTTAAAGGGATAGTTCACCCCAAAAATGAAAATTCTGTCATTAATTACTCAACCTCGTTTTGTTCCAAACCCGTAAGACCTTCTTTCATATTCGGAACACAATTTAAGATATTTTTGATGAAATGGGTGGGTAATTAATGACAGAATTTTCATTTTTAGGTGAAAAAACTATTTTGTTCCCTTTAAACAATTTTGCACTTGAAATGGCTACAATTATTGTTGCTATAGGGCGAGGCACCGCAGAGAACAGAGAGCGTGTGGCAGAAGGAGGAGGATTTTTTTCCACACATATTCATTTTATTTGGAATGCCAGAAGAACACATTGTCCGAACATATCGTTTGCCAAGCCATGTTATTTTTAATTTGCTTCAGGAAATAAAAGATGACTTGGAACCCTCAACTAGGAGTCATCCAATACCAGCTCTATCAAAACTTCTTCCAACCCTTCATTTTTTGGCCTCCAGTTCTTTTCAACGTAGCCTACTGTGGCTTATTTATATCTTTATTCTTTATTTGTGACTACGCTAATTTGCACTGCGCTTGGTATATTTCATTGGTCGATATGTAAATTAGATGTTTGTGGTGTTTGTGTTCTTTCATTTGCATGTTGTTAGTAAATCACCCGCAGAAATTTCCACACCCATCGGTGCTGTTTTGGAATTGTGCTCTCCCGCTAATTTGCCCTGTTTAGTTAAACTGGCCCTAAGTGTGTGTTGGTGTGCTTGTCAGTCCATAATGCTCACTTCTTATTATTTATCAATTTAAACAGAGTGAACAAAGACATACATTTTTTTGTGGGTTTCATATATTATTCTAATTAACTAACTAGTTTTAATACAGTACATCAAAAATCACACTATGAAAATGATTAAACATAAATCAAAACAGTACTTACATTCTAACAAGATTATGACTTCACATAAACATTACAAAAATAAATATCAACTACTTAAATATTTTAAACAAAATTTTTTTTTAGTGTCCTTAATATTTTAATTTTCACAAACGGTTACGTACAGTGTATATACAATACAAACATTTGTAACTTTTCAAATGTGATTATATGTTTGTGCTTTTGGAAATTGATCTTTAATTAGCCTTATTATTTTGCATTTAAGCCTCTTTTTGAGCATAAAATGTAATACAATTCTGAAAATGTAATTGTTGTATGTCCAATTATTTAGTTGTATTATCATTTATCCATATCAGGGTGTACTTTCACCCAAGTGGTATAGTTAAGACGTGTGTGGGGTTTTGACAGTGGAACTTTCATTAATTTTAGAAACTGTGTAAATCCAGCATCCTGTACAGACCGTATTATATAATACAAACAGTATTAATTTCATTTAAGAACAGTTATTATGTGACTATCTATACCTTGAAACCGATAACGGTGTTTTTGATAACTGATGATAATACTGCTCCGCTCTCTCCATGTTCAGTTCTTCGTGGCTGAAGTAGCGGCTCATGTAATAATCAGTCTAGCTCGCAGCGGCCTCTGTCGGTAAAAAAATAATCACTACATGACTGCTCTGGTAACCAGCAACTTTCCAGAGATAAAACGTTTAATTTCATTTCTGTGTGTTTCGTAGTGTTTTAATTTTACACTGTAGTTTTCAGACGAAAGGACATGTAGTTTTGAATAAAAAGGCGACATACCTTCACGCAGAGTGGACGCGGCACCGGATGAAGAGGCTCCGGTGGTCTTCAAGACGAGCGCGTCGGCCAAATATCTGAAATATATGTAAAATTTCCCCCAAAACTGTCGAGACAAACTGAAAAAGTAAGGAAACCGTTTTTAATAGGTTTGAAATTGCGCTCCTGTCAGGTCAAGAGTGCAGATAACGGCTTTTTAACGGATTAAAATATCAGTCGACTGGGGAGATGTAAACATACTCGTAGGAAGAACAGCAATATTACTGTCAGGGCTTAAAGACACTTTGTTACAAAAAACAACATAACGCGCACATATTATTACCGCTGTGTCATCTGTCGCAGCCGCAGTTGCACCGGTCGACCGTTGGAATTTAAAACTTTAACCCAACTGGTTGTGTTGTTATAGAAATAACCCAATAAACATAGGAATAACCCAACAAAACGACCCAACATGTTTAGCCCAGATATTGGGTACAGTAAATAACCCAACGTTTTTTAGAGTGTATATATATTTAAGAAAATATGTTATGTTTATATATGAAATATATGTTTATATATTATAAATTATATGAATATAAATATACACATGCAATATATGTAAATATTTTCAAAATATATACTGTATGTGTGTTAATTTATATATACATAATAAATATACACAGTATACACACATTTATTATGCAAACAAAAACTTTTATTTTGGATGCGATTAATCGCGATTAATAATTTGACAGCACTATATATATATATATATATATGTGTGTGTGTGTGTGTGTGTGTGTGTGTGTGTGTGTGTGTGTGTGT